TTTTTGAGAAGTCCTTATATAATTTCTATGCATATCCTGCAATAAAACGAGAAAACAAAAGTTTATTAAAAATAGGCATATTGGAAATCAATTAACAAAAAATAGGCACGTTACCCCAAGAAAAATGTGGCATATTTTCCATTTGTTGGGGTAAGATGCCTAGTAGAGTCTCATGCTCCAGCATGTCTGATCGGGATCGGCAGTAGCTGACAATGGAAACTTTAGAACCTTAACTACATCACACATAATTGTTTTTAGCAATTTTAATAAATTCCATTTTAACTTTTAGTTTAAAATTATTCTAGAAATATTTCACAACAAAAACTTTGTTCTTATCTAGCTTTTATTCTTTTCGGATGTAGAAAATGAAGTAACGGTAGCCAACTACAGCTTTCCGCACTCAATATTGACCCAACGATACATCATACAAATACATGACAATATGTGACGTCACCGTTTGAAAATATCAAAAATTAGGCATCTTCCCCCGAATCACTCTATACGTCGCAGTCAAAACCAGTTTTTAGTTAGGATGCGTTTTAACTAGTTTATACTAAATGTCTTTGTTAAAATCCGTTTTGTCTAGTTAAAACTAGAATTTACTGCTAGTCAAATATGAATTTGAGTTAAAACTAGTTTCAACTAGACAAAACAGGTTTTAACAAAGACATTCAGTATAAACTAGTTTCAACTAGTTAAAACGCATTCTAACTAAAAACAGGTTTTGACTGTAACATATATACTAATAAATAAATTATTTCAACCATATTTTATTATTATTTATCAAACATACATATTGAAGAAACAAATTGTCTTCATTAATCCATCACTCACATTCACCAGGAACAAAAAACAGTTTTTAAATTAAATACAGTCCTTTATTTGAGGCTATGACTGTGCGAAAGCCATACACAAAAGTTTATCCTTATATATTGATTCATATTCTTCTCCTTAGAAAGCTATGATTTATCATTAAATATTTGAAATTCTAAATTGAACTAAAATTTGCAAATATTTATAGTTGAAAACTATAATATTTAAATCAAAATCTGAAAAATATTAACAAAATGTTTAGCTATTAATTAATATTTAAACATTTTGATAGCTACTAATTAATAGCTATCATTCAATTTAATGTTTTGGGGTGGGTTGGAATGGTGGGAAAGTTGGAGAGTGGTTGCATTAACCATTTTTAAGTGTCCTTAAATCCAGTCTTAGAAATCTGGAAATTCTGATAATAATTTACATATGTAGTTGAATGTCAAAATGTTTACAATATAACTATGTAGAGAACTTTTAGTTCAGTTCATATTAAAGTATTTACAAATGTAGAGTGGCTAGCTAAATTATTTGCAGACATTCTACAAAATGTTAAACTCCCCAAAATATGGGGACAAGCAAAAATCCTTGCCATTCTAAAACCTTAAAGGAGCATATGACCTAAAAAATTTTAATCCACTTCCTTTCCAGTGTGTACCTCTAAAGTTATTCAAGTGTATAATACTGCAAAGAATCACTCCAATAATTGAACCATTCCTGCCTCTAGAACAAACCAGTTTCTATAAAGGACAAAGCTGTTGCAAATAAGTACTCAAACCAACTAACTATATTGAAACAGGTTTCAAGCACAGACTGAAACCAGGTGGTGTGTTTATAGATCTCTAGGCAGCTTATGAGAGAGTGGAAAAATGGTTTTATTATTGAAAATAGGAAAAATTATTTGTTACAAATCTGTACTAAAAATACTAAAGCAGATGTTATCATACCATAAGCTTCAGATAAACAGAGTGCTAATTTGTGTCTTCGTATTTTTGGGAATCGTAATATCATACGCATAATGATAATAGATGTATAGCATCTTCTGTTGAAATTAACATTTTAATAAAATTTTCTGTGACTATTTTGCAAATGATATACTTAGGACTTGTGTAACAAGAATTGTATAATATTGAATTATCGTTTTTTCTGTTTTGAATAGTAATTATCTTAAGTCTAACTAACCTATCCTAACTTAATGATAAAAAAAAATCTAACCTAACCTAACCAGTGAGGATCCTCCTGGATTCCTCTCTGGTTATGCCAGTGTTGATAATTATATTATTTGGCATAAGAGCTAGCAGAAAATTTTAAGTTTTCTGAACTATCATGTTCATAACCTTGAGGATGGGTTAGAAATCCTGAAAATACAATGATTAATGAAGTTTTACATCTCCATCTTCAAGAAAGCAGATGTTGAGGAATTTATAGAAATAAATTGTGTGAATTTTATTTAATAAAAACTTTTAATAGTGTTAAAACTAGAACGTTTTGCATATGATTTGTAAATTGTATGCTGTAATAATAATATAAAACAAATGAAACTATTGTAGTATAAAGCACAGTATATGATCTGTACGAATATATATTACTTAGCTTTATTTTAAATGAAATAAGATAATTTCAAGAGATTATCTGATTACATTCGAGAAAATCATTGCTATTTTGTGTTTGCTTTTGGCTGGCTTTGGTTGATTATACAAGGGAGGAACAATAAATAAATTCTCTAGGACTATATATAAGGCTATAAAGATTTATTATTAGGGGATTATTTAAATTAATCTGGATACATTTTGTTAATTCATTAATAGAGTTTTATCGTCAAACGAAATATTATCGACCGACGAAAATTCTACCGACGAGGACGACGACGATAGCGATATTGAAGAAATGGGTAGAAATATCGAAAATATATTAGCCGATAAGAAAACTTGCAAACAGGTAAGACCAGTTTACAGTCATTTAAATGTTAAAAAAATAGATTCTGTTTTTATTACCAATTACCAATCCTTAGGATTTTACAAGTTCTATATTAGAACAATTATTTATTCTGACGTCGCAATGCCAGGCTGAAATGTTTAATCATATTTTTTAATCTATTTAATTTAAAATACACGCTCTCCGCCTTCGAAAAATTAGTAGTGTCTTGCCCCTTAAAATCATACTTTTCCTTTAGCAACAGAGTCGTGCCGGTCATCTCTTTTTGGGGGAAAATTTTCGAAATAAAGTGCCTTTCGGTGCAAACCAGAAATTTGTATATAGTTAATAGGGGCAAGAGGCAATTTTACAATGCATTTTTTTTCAAATTGCAGCCCAAAAAATCTCAATTTCTTATCTTTAGTAGGAAAACTCTATTTGTTCTTAATATACTTGACTTATTTCTTTTATACTATCAAAAATATTTAATGTTTCCAAATAGATTTCGGAAGAGCAAGAAGAAATTCAAAGGCAGGAATTACAAAAACTTATGAACAAAGATACAAACAAATTAAATAAGAAAAGTATTAAAACTCTTAAAGTATTTTATTAAAAGAATGATATAATTTACCGATCCACGGCCGAAATTTTCCTTTCTAGATAAATTAAAAAACGAAGAAACTACCAGCAAAGAATTGATAACGGACGAGAGTTACGTAAGTTAAAGTTTAAAATATGTATTTCGATGTTATAAAATTCTAATAGAATAACAACGGCCGAAATTTTCTACTTTTGTAATTGTGTTACAGGAAGGGAAAATACTAGAAATTACCAGAACGTACAAAACTCTAGAAGGGAAATTGTTTAACAGAGTGGAAACCGTTAAAAAACCGGAGATCATAAGTAGATACATTCATATAAAAACAGCCAAGGATTCAGAATTGGCGTAAGTCATTTTTAACTGCATTTAGAACATTAAATTATTTTAGTGGATAGAAAAATTTGCAGGAATTGCAGACGAAAATTTCATACTGGAATAGTTTTTACCCGAGAACTATCGAATGTAAAGAAAATAAATAAAACAGGGAGAATGGCGAATAAGAGACCAAAGATCAGTCTCGAAAGAAGAAAAATTTGATAGTTTCGGCGATTTTTTTTAAGTATAAATGAAATCCAAAATTTCCAGGTCCAGAAATGTTTATGCTTGATGTATTTTTACATCAGAATTATCTCTAACCTTGACTCAGATTATAAAAATCGTGATTTTAGTACGTAATTGTACAGTCGACCCCCCCTTATAACACTGTTGATAATTCCGTTTTATATGAATTCCATGTTGTACGAGTCACTTAGATTTTACAAATACGTGTGCCGGGCTGTGAACGGCTCACGTATTTGTAAAATCTGAGTGACTCGTACAACACGGAATTATCAACAGTGTTATAGGGAGAGGTCGATTTGTATGTTAAATAAATTAAGTTTTACGTTGTAATTTACGAATTGTTTGTATCGAATGTAGTTTTAACATTTTTAGAATTGTGATTTTATTCTACATTTTCTAATAAAAACGGAATTAATTTGCAGAAGAAAAGTCAACGAGGACTTGGAAAAAGAAAAGAGAAAAGAAATCAGGAAGGAAAAGAAGAGGTATTTTGTATTTTTCAAATAATCGTTCGGAATTATATTTTAATAATAGAGAAATATTTTCCAACAGATTACAGGATAAATTAAGGAGAATAAATAGAAACCAGGAACGGGGTTTCTATGAAATTCCGGCAAAAAGGCCGAAGAAGGAACTAATCCCCAGCAACGTACGTAAAATTTGTCAAATTGGAATAATCTGAATTGGCGTTTAATTCGTTCTTTCGTCGACAGATGAAGTGCGGCGCGTGCGGCGTGGTGGGTCACATAAGAACCAACAAGATCTGTCCCATGTACCAGCCCCAGCCCTCGGCGGTACGCATCGCCATGACGGAGGAAGAAGAAAAAGAAGCTTCGGACGTTCTGAACGAGAACGCCTTGGTGAAGGTAGAGGACACGAAACTGGTCCTGTCCAAGAAATTTATGGAGCGGATGTTGGAAGTCCGGAAGAAGACCATGAGGCTGACCTTTCGCAAGGACGTCATCGACCCCAAAAAGGGAGGTTGGCCGCGCGACTATGCCGGGAGGAAGTGCGAAGAGAGAAGAAATTCCGCCCTTTCCGTGGAAGAAACGTTCAGGCCCGCGGCCAACAATCGCTGCGTTAGAAATCCCGTGGTTTCGCTTTCTACCGTCTTCCAAGAAATTTGGCAGAAAATGAGAAACGTTCTCAACGTAAGAGCAATCCCTTCCCTTCCTTAAAAATCTTTGCCTAAGTTCTAAGTTAATGAAATCGTATTTCGATGTTTCGTAAAATTACAGATTATACGAAAGGGTGACGTAAAACTTTAAATACCGTGTTCGTACCTCGGTAAATTTCGACCCTAAAAGCGCGTGGTCTGTTCGAAATACTCAAAAACGGAATTTTCTTACGCAAATTTTAGTTTCTGTCGTGTGTAAGGAGTGGGCTTAATTAAGTCTTTTGCAGTTTAATTCCGTCTCCGTAAGTCAGTTTGGTCGTAACGTGTCTGTCCGGTGTCCGTCTCTAACGCTCTACATACAAAAAGTGTCGCCATCTTCGGTGTACTTTACCAAAAACGGCAGATGTTTATCGTCTTCATAATATAAGTGTAAACATTTTCGAATGATGTGATAGATTCAATTTTATTTTCTAGACCTTTAATATAGTTTAAATTGTTTATTAACACTGGACAATACTTGTTACTGTAGCGCGTACACCTAAGATTAAGTGTTTAAATTTAAAACTAAAGAGTGGTCATTTATTTATCGGCGGCCTTCCGAATACATCCAAAATTTACCAGATTTTTACATTTAGAAAGAGTTGCAAAGTGCCCCGAGTGCACTTCGTCTTATCGTCGTTTCTCGATATTTCAGCCATTAAATAATTGGATTATCGCTTTATTCTTTTAGAGCAATCCGTTTTGGTTTCCGGTGAAATCCCACACGGCTCCAGACTACTACAAGATCGTGTCGTCTCCCATGGACCTTTCCAGGATTAAACACAAGCTACAGGAGTTGGACTATCGAAACAGAGAAGAATTCCTCGACGACGTCTGTCAAATAGTCAAGAACAGCAGCCTGTACAACGGTGAGCTTCTTTACTTTCTCGTAATTCCGTCCCCCGACTACGCTAAAATACAATTACGTAACAGGAGAATACGACGTTTTGACGTCGACGGCCAAAGAAATGCTCAAGATCTGCGTCGACGAATTTCAAAAGAACGAAGAGCGTTTGATGAGTCTGGAGGAGGCCATCAATCACGACTCGTTTAACGACAACGTCACCGCCCTGTCTTACATCCTGACAGGCGTAGTCGATAAACATTTGAGGACCATACCCGAATGTTGGCCTTTTCTTCAACCCTGCAATAAAAAGTACGTTCGAGATCTGACTAACGGAGAAACTCCCATGTGTTTGCAGATAATAAGCGAAGTAAGTTTGCCTGGTGTCGTCGTGCGCTTCGGAAACCCGCGAGTGCCGCCGAGATTTAAACACTTAAAATTTCGTCGTTGTGTATCCGTCTCGCGAGTAGACAATCGACGCCATTGATTTTAAATTGCATTTAAACCTCGGATTTCGAACTTAATTCGTTCCTAGATTGTTCGTAAACCGTATTCGTTGTTTTATAAACACCGGGGTTGCGTTCGTAAATAGCCTTGTAGGAAGACGTCGTGTCGACATAAAAGTGTACAATACCTAGGTACAGTACGTGAATAGATTTGTTTGTTTCCCGTTCTTTTGTTTCCGCGAATAGTCTATAAATTTCTGCGTGTAATCGTAACTTTTTATGCCGATTCCACTAATTTTAAGTGTTTAATGGACGGTACCGCCCTCGTCATGATAATTTAAGGTATTCGGACGTGTGTTTTCCGTGTTTGTAGAATATCAAGAAGCTGAAATATCGTAACGGAAGGGAATTTTTCGAGGACGTGGAGAAGATCTGGAAGGACAGTCGGGCCATTAGAGGCGAAGACAGTCAATTCACCAAGAAGGCCAAGGAGATTGTCGACGCCTGCGCCCGGGCGCTCGAAAAGGTAAATTTACCATTAAATACGAAAAATGTAGACTATGTTTGTAGTGTGTAAGGACCTGTATAGGAGACCTGGACGGAATCTTTCGGACCGTATCTTTTCCCGTCGTTTTCGTAACGATAGCGAGCGGTCTTTTCGAAATTGACGTAACGCGTGGTTTGCTGGGTTTCGAAATTTTGGCAGCTGTTGTCGATATCGAACGAGTCGGAAGAACGTGCACGCACAAAATTTAATTTAAATTAGTTGTTGTTGCAAAAAGTGTAGCAATTTTTCAATGCCTGGTTACTTTCCACCCACCCCGTATATAATTTAATACGGGATGGGTGGTGGCGAAACGGTTGTTTATGTATTAAGTTATTCTTTTTAAAAGAATAACCTATTACGACGAATGCCGGTTACGAAGAAAACTGTGCGTTACGGAGAAGAAAACCCCTCGTCGAGCCGAACAGGAATCGGAGGCCGAGAAACGTAGTTTCGAAATTTCGTCGTTCTTCGGTATCTTTACTGATATCTTCGATCGGCCGACGCGTTTTCCTCGCATCGCCACGGAACGTCGGTGGATGGCGCCGCTTCTAACATTGAATTTTAAGGTATGCGTCCGTATTTCCATTTAATAAAGTACTCGTCGAGTAATTTTCGTCACCCGTGCCGCGGAAATATAAAAATTACACCGGTATCTCCATGCCTAGTTACTTTCCACCCACCGTGTAGAATAACGATGATTCGAAAACTTTTATTTTCGCTTTGATGTAAGACGATTTGTAAATAGTTTCTTTAAAAATAAAACTTTCCAAATAATTCTGTAACTTTAGAATCGTATTTTTAAAAATTATGTTTCTCCCCCTCGTGTGCCCTGTCGCCTCTACAGATCGGTGGTCTTCCAAATTCGTTTTTAGTACCGCGTGCGGGTTACACTCGTGACGAAAGATCGACGAATTTCTTCCCCATAAATGGCATTTTTAGAGAGAAGCGGTATAAACGGTAATTATACGTGAAGGCGGTGATAGAAAGCCAGCCTTTAATAGAATTCCCTTGTAGAATCTCTCTACTTTTTGTTACTATAAATAAAAATAGGAGAGAGGTCCGTTCGAATGGCAGTTCTATCACTTTATCGTTCCCTCCTCCGTATATGCAAGTAAATTTAAAGATAGTAAAACAAATTTTATATTTTAGAACATTCTCTGTTTACAAAAATGTGTTAGAAAATTTTAAAATGACACTTTTTTCACACAGTTGGCTGCTATATATTATACACATGTACAAAATACATCCATCGCTCATTACATTCTTCACAATATGGACACGACACAACGACATATAAAAAGCATAGAGTATCAAGCAATCGTTAGTTCGAAAGGCACTCCACGGCAGGCATCCCTACGACCTGGTCCAAGATTTTGTTGACCAAACTGCGTCAAACAGCTGGTTAGCTCGGGGATGCCTCTTTGGGGAGACGGAAGGATTCGTGATTGCCATACAGGATCAGATCATAAATACTAAAACTTATACAAAATACATACTCAAAGATACAACACTCACAAATGACACATGCAGAAAATGTCACATCGTGCCAGAAACTATACAACACATCACTTGTGGTTGCAAGCTCTTGGCACAGACAGATTATTTACACAGACACAATCAAGTAGCAAATACACCAAGAGCTTGCAAAGAAACACAAATTATTAGACATCCACAAACCATACTACAAATACCTTCCACAGACAGTATTGGAAAACAACACGCACAAAATGTACTACGACAGAATCATAATCACAGATAAAACAATTTACCACAACAGACCAGACATCACACTCGTTGACAAACACAGTAAAATCACACACATTATAGACATATAGGCTTGTGTGTAGTGTATGGGGTCCTGTACAGGAGAGAACGACAGGTAGAATAAACACCCTATCCATCCTCCACAGATGCCTTATTTCCTGGGCGAGTTCTGTGTACTTGCTAATTTTTTCAGTGCATGTGTTTTGTACATTGTGAGTGTTTGGAATGGCTACGTCTATAATGTATGTGATTTTATTGTGTTTGTCAATGAGTGTGATGATGAGTATGTATTTTGTGTAGTTTTTAGTATTTATGACCTGATCCTGTATGGCAATCATGAATCCTTCCGTCTCCCCAAAGAGGCATCCCCGATCTAACCAGCTGTTTGACGCAGTTTTGTCAACAAAATCCTGGGCCAGGTCGTAAGGATGCCTGCCGTGGAGAGCCTTTCGAGCCCATGATTGTTTAATGTTGTCTATGCTTTTTATATGTTGTGTCATGTCTGTATGTTGTGAGTGTAAGTTTAATGGTGTGTTATTTGAGTCTGCTAGAGTTACTGCTTTATGTAACTGTGATGTTTCTTGTAGAAAAACTCTCGCAGTGACTGTAGTTGTTTGTAGTGAAGGTTAACTATGTCAATCAGGCCACGTCCGCCTTCTTTACGTGGAAGGGTTAATCTTTCTGTGGCAGATTTAGTATGATGTTGTTTATGCTTAGTAAGTGTTGTTCTTGTTTTCCTTTGGAGTTGCTCGAGATCTGTGTGAGTTTAATGTATAACTTCAAAAGAGTATGTGAGTACTGGGATGACATGTGTTTATTGCTTTAACTGTGTGTTTTGCATTTAACTGTGTTCTAAGTATAGCGTTTAACTTACTTTGGTATTCTTTAATTAATCGTTGCTTTATTTGTGTATGTTCTGTTAGTTTGGCCTGTTGGAATCCTAAGTACTTGTAGAACTCGCCCTCTTCCATGGATTCAATAACGTCTCCATTTCCAAGTGCAAAATCTTCTTTCTTCATATTATTATTATTATTATTATTATTATTAAAGTTCACTGGGTAAAAATAAATTGAGTAAAATGAAAATATTCCTTTCAGTACCGCGAGAAACTGCGCAAAGTGGAAGTCCCTGACGACCGGGATGAGGAAATCTCGGACTTTTACCCGGTGAGTAATTTCCCTTTTCGCCCGCGGAACGGACCGACGGAAAGGATTAACGTTAAGGATATTTCTGGAGGGCGGGCCCACCCCGCCCTTCTTAAAAGTGGAAAATCTTTCCGCTCTCCCGTACGGCGGTGGACACCCCACCGAGTCCCGGGTCCCTTTCGGGTCCGGACTCTCCTCCCTATCGCGGGCGACGGGCCCGCCGCCTTTAAAGCAACCGTGGCGGGGAAAGCGCGAGAGATAAATTAGGGAATTTCGAGCCCTTCACCCAGGAACGGACGCCGCCCGTTTATTCCGGTGACAACTTTTGGGGAATTTGCGGGCGATACCGGTAAGGGGAGAAATAACTGTAAACTTTGCCTTATATTTCAGGAAGGGCGGAAGGAAGGAGGAAACGAGTCGGATCAATTGGCCAGGGACTTGCACCTGTCGCCCGACAACTCTGAAGAGGAGGACGACGATGATTTCGACCCTCGGACCACCGAACTCCGGTCGGAAGTGGTCTTTTAGTTTCTCCCTTCGTCCGTCCCCGATTCAATTCTTTCCGGTTCGCATCCGAAGGAGGAGATGCGGTAGCGGAAGTTACCGGGTCGATCCCGGCGTCACCCACAATTCTTTCCGTCGACGGACTGGAAACTTTCGCGCGTGGTCTTTGGCGGAATAAGGCGCGGAGAGCCGCCTGCTTTAATTAAGCCCGATAAGTTATAGTTTTGAACGCGCCGGATTTCGCCTCCCTCCCGTAAAACGGCCGCCGAAGAAAGGCGTCGTCGGTGGAAGAGAAGAAAGAAAAAAAATGGGATCGGAGCGTCACGTTACGCGTTTACGTCTTTTGTTAAAGATTAGAAGCGGAAAATAAAATTATTCTCCGCCGGAACCTTTGACTTAATCTCGCGTAACGAACGGAAGGAGGAGGAGAAAGTCCATTGCTCAGAAATCTTTATTTAATAGACGAGAGAGGAGGAATGCTCGATCTTCCTTCCGGACGTCGTCGGGCCTTTCCGGAGATCACTCTTCCTTTTCCACCAAGTTGGAGCAAGTTTTGTCGAAATCCTGGCAGCTGTCTTTCAGGTGCGAATTCAACACGCACTGCCACAAAACAATTAATCGCTAGAGGCCACTCCGCCGACAGAAATACTTCCGATCTCCGGGAGGCTTTCGTAAATTACGTAACGGTAAGTGGTATTACGACAACATATTAGTGATCCTATTTCGAGAGTGTACTGTTTCTTCCAATAGGAATATAGTCCGGGAACTTTCAAATGGCGCGAGTTACAATCGTATGACCGAAGGTCACCAGTGGCCGAGCGGTTCCGTTCGGTGGTGGATCGGCGCCTGGCCACGTGGAGTTTTCCGGGTTTTCTCTACGTCTTTAACGCCTAAATAGGGACCGGTTAACCTTAAAAGATGCCCGAGTGTTGTAATTGCCGCGACTAACGAGACAAATTGTATGGTCGATTACCCGCAACGGAAGAGGTGGCGAGTAGCGTTACGGTGCGTAACGGGGGACGAGAGTAGTAAAAGATAGCATTACGTAATTTACGAAAGCCTCCTGTCTACTTTTGTGTTTACTCTTTCCGTCCGTCGGCACAAAGGGGTTTTTTTTTTATCGCGCCCGTCGCGGGTTCCTCCAATTGGCAGGGTAGAACTTCGACGTATTAATAAACGCGAATAAGGTCGCAATTGAAAATTTTCGGATATTTTAAGCAGAATGCCGTCCGCCATTTACCGTTACAGTTATCAATGAATGAAAATTAAGCCTTAACGATTATTTCTGCTTTGGAATGCGTAAATCAACGGGGATTAGTTACTAGCGGACGACGTCACGTGTCGACACACACTACGTCCGGGTCTTTTCCACCCACGCATCCAACGAAGGACCGTCTTCGCCAGTTTCGGCAACCCTGGCTAAAAATCGTATTTTATCGAGCACTAATAAATACGGGGTGATGCAAAAGTCCATATTTTCGGTGAACTTTTGGCCGGTGTTAAGGCGATTAGCGTGGAAATGCTTAGAATCGAGGGTGATTTTTCTTTAATACGTTCCGAGCAGAAAATGATCTTTACCCGCTACAATCGCGGTAGACGATGTTTAAATAATTTATAATCGGCCGTCGTTATTTCGACTTAACCTACTGGGTTCTTAAGCGCCCCCCCCGAGCTACGACCCTTATAGCCCGACGGATAAGGAGGGAAGGGATCGTCCACCCCTTCCGGACGAAGGGCGCGATTAAAAATCCCGGCGGATGTCCGAGGGAGGGAAAGAGTGGTAAAGAAAAGGTAAGTGGCACGCGCGTCCGCGGTCGCCCACTCCCTTTACAGAGCCGCCCTTACAATGACGCGAAGTATACAGTACTTACCCGACCGCAATCTGAGGAGTACGAAATTTTCGCAATCTGAAAAATAAAGTTCCGGTCGTTCTTCCTTTAAGTCGCCTTCCGTAAAGTTTGGAGGTGGAGGAGGAAACAAATTTAGCGCGAGAAAGGGGGCGGAATTTCTTCCGCTCCCTTTTTACCGAAAGGGAGGTTGAGTCGACTTTGACCGATTTCCTTGTCGGACTCTTCCCCGACGGATCCGACCCAACGGACCCTTTTCAATCGTCTCGTATTTTTCGGCCTTTCGGTAAGACGCCGACTTCGTTTCCTCTTCCGGTCGGTAAAGGGCCACTCACCTTCTCTGTGGTGCCGCAACTTGTAAGAGATGATGCTAGCTCGCCTATGGTCTTGCACCCTTCCGGAAGCGAATTAATAATTTCACGAAATATGTCCAATAATTCCTGTAAAAGGAGCGATTAAGAAGGTGAGAGGATCGGTGTTTTTTAGTAGTCCCGTATTTGACCAGGGGAAGAATACTTACTTTGCAAGAAAAAGCCAACTTTTTGAAAAACTCCAGGAGAGCAGCTGTAATATAAGAAAACATTCAAAATTACTCTTCGCTCCCATTTTTAAGGCGGAGGAGGTAAGCTAAAATTTGAATAAATTTTCCTCTTTAAAAACCCTAATTGTCCCGACCTTGTACTGTCTGCGCCATCTTACGTCTCATACATGAGAATAAGGCTTTAATGTGCCTGGAGTTTTTGCAAAAATTCGACGACTTTAAGCCCGTAAAACAATGGTTTCGGTGGATTCGGCGACACGTCGTAGAAGCCAAAGGTGCCCTAAGGCGGTATTAGTCTCTCTTGTTTTTTCCGTGTAGATGGAATATATTTGTATTATTCGGGCCATTTATGACGTCGGAGGTATATCAAAAAACCCGTTTACACTTAATTGCCTTATTTAAATCAACTTAACAAAGCGTACATAAATAATACCATTACTTACTTGGGTTCCTCCTCAATTGATTGGCTTCATCCGTTTTGCATCGAGTAAAATTTCTCTTACCCACGGCAACGTCGGCGATTACGCAAGCCAAGCAAAACGTCACAAATTTATACATCATATCGAAGCGCAGTTCTTCTCCCTTCTGTCCTCGATCCACACCATCCCGGACTTTTTATTTATTCCCTTCGTCCGTCTGTGACGTATTTAACGTAACTTCCGTCCTACGTAAGCTACGTCGCCGGTAATCGCGTGACGTAAATTTAATAGTTCCGATTGCGTAGATTAGTTAATATTTGAACTTTTTTTTTAAAAATAATCAGTATTTTTTTCATCGTCCTCTTCCAATCCCGAAGACCCGTCCGTGCAAATTTTTCAGACTCGAATCCGGATCCCTCCGGAGTGGTATTCGCCTGGTAGAAACGTGCCGAAAAAGAAAACTTCGATTTTTTTTTTCGTTTGTGTCCCCTATTAACAACCCCCTACGAACATTTAACGGTAAAAAGAATACGAGTAATTTTACTTGGCGCCTCTCTCACTGGGAAGGGTTTTTTTAGTTAAAAACAAAATTTGGTCGGGCTCTTTATAGCTTAATTTGTCAGTTAAATAAATACCGAATACGAAAAACAAGTACAGAATTCTTTCTAACACAGTCTGGTATGGTTATTTATCTGCGCGCACGAGAATGTTCCGTCCAAAATTTAATTCGGCTCCGTCCCAACTGATGAGAGTCGGCGACAAAAGAATTAAAGATTTAAGGAACAGAGCCGAAATGAAACCCAAACCGCGGCTTCCGCTTTAATGGTTTCGCAATATTTATCGATTTTATATTCGAATAATACCGATTTAATTAACGGGAGGGAGGACAATAAACAGATGAGAAAATAAAACGGAGTAAACAAGCGCCTACTATTTGCTTTTTACATTAACGTGTTTGGAATTCCCGTCTAATGAATTTGTTCAGCCTTAGCTAATACGGGAAACCGAAGCGCAAACAAACGATTTACACGTGCCGAGTCGAATAATTAAAATTTTCCATTTAAAGTATAATTCTTACCCGTTCCGTCCCCCACCCTCGGGTGACCCCCGCGATAGGTTTTTCGGGTCCGGTATCGCGCCGCCTCCCTCCCAAATTCACATTTTACGATAGAATATTTGTGAAAAAAAAAAATCTCTACGTAACAATTACAGAAAATCGCAGAGAAAAGTATTTTAGTTCTTTGTTAAACACCGACCAAGGAAATTTTCACCGGATAAGAATTCTATTGGGAGGTAGCGACCCGAATAAACCCCGTCTATGGTGTCCACTTCGGACATTTTGTTTTTAATGCCACCCCTTTACGACTGGGTAGTGTCTGATCGGTACAGAATCAAAAAGTATATGATTTTTCTCGCGTAAGCCGTTGCCGCGCTTCATTTTCTCAATACTTATTGACATTTGCAGACGCGTGCAGTCGACGTAGTGTTATAGTTTTCCCGTGTTTTTCGAAATTTGTGACGTTACTTATTCTTCGGTAGTAATAAAAACTTGCTAAGGTAAAGTATAAGTGTAATAATTTTTATTCCGACTGTGAAACTCAAAATAGTGTTGTGGCGAACGTAATGTAAATGTCTGTTCCGAACATTCGAGTAAAGAAAATAACTTGTATATTGTCTTCCTAAATAAATACTGTATACTCGATTCAGAATTTGTTTTTTGTTGGTGCAAAAAGAATTACGCATTTCGCCTTAGGAAAATCTTTATAATAGGTAAAATTTTCATTTATTTCTCGGTATTACGGGCAACGGTAGAAACAATCGACTCGACGGGGGGATGCGTATAGATGACGTCAGACAAATATTATATGTAGGCCGGTATTTAAAGTAATATTCGCTGCGTATTTTAGAACCGGTGGAAGAGCCGATCATGAAATCAGTTATATTTTCCTCCGTCTTCGTTTGTCTTTTGATGACGATTTCGATTTATTCCGCTACAGAAGACGACGACGACGATGATGATAACCGGAACGAAATCGCGAGAAAGTGCGCGATTTATCTTTGTAACGAATATTCGAAGGTCGACATCCTCAATAATTACAAAGGTAAAGTATACGCAATTTCGATAAGAATGTTGCGACAAGTTTGTTCACTTTCTTTGTTTTTTAATCATTTGTTTTCGCCATTAAATGCTTACAGATTTGAATATCGATATATCAAAGATAAACTTCTTTAATTCATCGAAACTATCCGATTCACCCGAGTTAATGGACTTTATTAACTGCGTAAGTATTTTTTTAAAATATGTACATTAAAAAAAAAAATCTGGAATGAAATTCCCTGGAAGTTCCAGCATTATTTTCTACCACCAAAACGAATTAGTACATACAATGGGAAATTGCGCCAGTCGCGCGTTTTAATCCCGAATAAAACAATTTAATTCCCGATATATTTAATATTAAATTGTTTTATATTGATTATATATAATATATATATTTTTAGATTGTTCCTATTATCCAAGTGTACCTGACTCAAGACAAATGCAACCTAATCAATTGCAAAGGGTCACTCGAATTGTTATCGTGTGAAACTTGCCAGTGCGTAAGTAGATTTTCAAAATGTAAAAAAATTCTATCGAGCTATTGGAATAAAATCAAAGACGAAATTCGTTTCTCTCTCCCCAGGTTGTCCGTCTGTTTGAAGAGTTCGTACAAGCCTTTAAAGCATTCATTCCGTATGCGGTGAGGATTATAAAATTTTCTTTAACCGTTAAATATTTTACAAAATTTGCATTTCTTTTAAAGTTTAATAACGATAATCTGTGCCGATAATTTAGTAATAATACGTAAATTCTTTAAGCTTAATACAAAGAATCTCTCTGAAATCAAAGTCCGTACAAAAGTCCAAGAAGATATATTAGAATGTTTCGTAAAGCACAAGGATATCATTCTGGAATTACCGAAAGCCTATAGTGTGAGTATAAGTAACTTATTCTTTATAAAAACATTGGTTACAATAATCTCTAAAATTATGTACTGTACCTTCGATCTCTGAAAAAAAAAATGACCAATGTATGAATTTTATACAATATTTCTTAATTTGTTACGCTCTTATATAAGTAGTTTCGTACGTGTACTTTAGGTTGGTTAAGTACGATACGTACGCACTATTTTCCTAATTTTATAGGTTCGGTATAATAGTCTCTTAGTTACTCCCTTTGTTAAGTCCATTTCTATTGGCGAAAAGTCGAAATTCCCATGACGCTTTTTGCGGTTAAGCGAATTCTTCTATCTACTAGAAGACAAATCAACCGGTAGACGATGTGACAATGGGGAGACACGTGCAGTGAAAATAACATTGCGGCAACGAGGGAAAATCGAAACCACAGACACTCAGGAACTTCGACCATTGTATTACTCTATATTCGCATTGTATTTTCAAAATGCGACTAGTTAAATGTATGCAGTACAGCGCTTCCGGGTGAAACCCCACCCTCCCTAACTGAACTATCCTTACAATTTTCCTTCCATCGCAACTTCTCCTTTTATCCCACGTCCTCCTCTCGACTCTACCTCTCTCTCCTATCTTATACTAAGTCTAACGACAGTCTTCTCTCACCTTTACACGCGAGTACTGTAGTAATCGAATCATACCCGAAAGAACAGAAAATAATTCTCTGGTTAACCGATAGATGGCGACACGCAATTTCTGTACATCACCGGAACACCGGAACTTGTTTTTGTATCGAAAGTTTTTTTTTTTTATATTGATTCGGAAACGTTTCGAATTTTAAGACACGCAAGAAAGTAACGCGGTTGTAGCGCAACGTATTGTCTGTCTACAGATTTAAAATTACATTATTAACTACTGTATGTAGATTAAAACACACACGTAAAGAAAAATAACAATATATAATAGCGTACTACACGACAGAACTGTGCCATAATAATAAAAATTTGCCATATACACCGCACACTAGGGTGGCCAAACTTCCCTTCTTTAATTAAAAAAACGACAAAGGGCGCGATTTTTCCTTTGTTTTCGTTTATCGATGCCTCGTTCTTTGTAAACTGGAGGAAAATTTCTGTTCGGGCTTACTCCCGTCCTGCGTCAATCCGTATCCTTCTCCCATAGAAAGCTACGGTTTACCATTTAAATATCGATATATTAAACTACAGAGAAAACAAGCAATTCGGGCTAACCTCACTAGTTTAAGGAAAGGAAAAATTGGGGAAAAAATTCCCATTTAAATATTGAAGTGGGAAGTAATCTAACGCGCGAAATTCGAGATTCGTCTATATTTAAAATTATTTTCGTTTGATATTTAATTAATGACAATTATTTCCAGGACTTGTTTTTAAAAATATGTAAAAAAGTCGAGCCCATATGTTAAAGAACCGACACGAAACAAATATGGAACCCATCGACATTTCCGTCGTTAACAATTGCGGTTAAATGTAATCAGATTTTCAAATAAAATCTTCTTCGAACATTGCCGAAGGTTCTCGGTTTAAATTCTTTTCGTATTAAAAAAAAACTAAATGTAACCATAAAGCGCATTTTAATAATGTTTCGGGGGTGGTCTCGCCTCGAAAACAGATTAGAACAATCTGTGTAGTGTTCGATACGTGGTAACGATGCCCACTTCAAAGGGCTTACCCGGGGAAGCTGCCCCAAGAAGGAAAAGTGGGGTAATTGACACACGGCACAGACCTATCAATTTAGTATCGGTTTGAATAATGAATGTTGTGACGAGACTAGAGCCATCTGTCGCAAAATTTTACAACTATTTCTCTGTTCGCCACTCGAAGGAACCGAGATGACCACCCCCCTCTAGTTCGGATCCCGGGTACGCCGCCGCCCGCACCAATTTTAAAACACGCGACCAATAAAAGCGGCGTCTAAAAAACGTTTCGACGCATTAAAATTATTTTATAAACGTTCTTTAAAACGCGAAAACGGTAAAAACGCCGACAAATGACGTGGCTGATCGGTTAGTCCAACGAAAATACGGGAAAGCGCGATTTAGGGGTTCTCAAATTAAGCCTATTAAATGCACGAATGAGGAAAACGTCCGAAACTCCAGTGTCTTCTTGTATTATTTATTCGTCTCTTATTAAATTCTGATATAGATTTTCTTGTATCTCTGGCGTTTTACATCAAATTAAGGCAATAATAA